ACGTCCCGTTGTTCCCTACCCGTCCTGTCGCTCCCTACCCGTCCTGTCGCTCCCTACCCGTCCTGTCGCTCCCTACCCATCCCGTTGCTCCCTACACATCCCGACGCTCCCTACACATCCCGTCGCTCCCTACCCGTCCCGTTGCTCCCTACCCGTCCCGTTGTTCCCTACCCGTCCCGTTGCTCCCTACCTTTTTGGGGTTCCCTACCCGTCCCGTCGTTCCCTACCCATCCCGTTGTTCCCGACCCATCCCGTTGTTCCCTACCCATCCCGTTGTTCCCTACCCGTCCCGTTGCTCCCTACCTTTTTGGGCTCGCGCCCGCCGTGTCCCTTCTTCTTGGCCTTCGGCGCCAGCTCTGCAAGACAACGAGGGGACAGTTAGTGACATGGTTAGTGGCAGGACGGTTTTTGGGCTCGCGCCCGCCGTGTCCCTTCTTCTTGGCCTTCGGCGCCAGCTCTGCAAGACAACGAGGGGACAGTTAGTGACATGGTTAGTGGCAGGACGGCGCCCGCGTCCCCCCCGCGCCGCATTCCCAACGGGAACACTCCACGCGGCCTTTAAACCGCGCGCCGAATCCGTCGGAGCCGCAGGGATGCGGCCAAGCGACGCGCTGGTAAAAATACCCCCGGGTTATTTTTAAGGGCCAAATCCGGGCGCGTTCCCAGGGTTTTTCCTGACGAAAAGCACCGGAGCGGAGCCGGATTGGAGCAATTTCCCTCCATACTTTGCTAAAAAGCAAACGCCATTCCCTATTCCCTGTCTGGGATGCGGCATCAGCATCTGAAGCCTTTAAAAGCATTTTTTTCCCCCAATTTTCCCCAAATTATCCCCCTCATCATCCCACCTTTGAGGCCATCTTTCCTTAACGGAGCGGAATGAGGGGAACGCGGCGATTCCGGGAGCCAAAATGGCTCCAACGGAGCCGCACGGAACCACAAAGGGAGAAATGGATAAAATAGAAAAAAATGGAATGCTACAAAATAAGATATAAAATAAAAGCTATAAAATAGAAGAGTTTGGGATCGTGGGAGAGTCGCTCCGAATCGTGGCCCCCGGCAGCGGAGCCAAAATAAAGCTCCGAGGTCTCCGGCGGGTCAAGGAGGGAATTTTTGTGAAGGTCGGAAAAATTAAACTGAAAATAAATTAAAATTAAAAATAGAAAGTGGCCAGAACGAGGAACGGCGCAAAAAAAGGGGGTTTAACTGCATTTTTTTCCCTCCCTGGGGCTGGTGCCAGCTTTTCCCTAAGCCAAAGTGAGGGTTTTCCGTGGCGGAGCAGGGAAAATGCGGGTGGGAAGGGGAAAATTGGCGGGTCAGGCCTCGGGGGGGCCCAAGGCTCGTGGCGGCCGCAAAAAATCATGGGAAAATGTTGACTTTGGCAGTGGGAAAAACGGCGTTAAAAAATGGGCAGAAAAAAGCCTTTTTGGCATCCAAATCCATCCTGGCCTCTGCGCTCTGAAAGTGGCGGAATTAGGAGTTTGCTAAAAAAAAAAATAGAAATCCCAACTATGCGGTGATGTGGGAAAAGCTGCAGAATCTGGGAAGAGTCCCAAAAATTGTGGGAAAGCAGCAAAAGCCAAGGAGCTCCCCCGCAAAATCAGGGAAAACTGGGTCCAAGGAGACCTTAAAATCACGGGAAAGTGGCAAAATCTGAGGAATTCCCCCAAAATCACAGGAAAGCTGCGGAGTCCGGGAAGACCTTAAGAGTTATGGGGAAGTGGCAAAATCTGAGGAAACCTCCCCAAAACAAGGAAAAACTGCAGCGTCCAAGGAGCCCCCAAATCCACAGGAAAGGAGCAAAATCCAGGGAACTCCCCCAAAATCATGGGAAAACTGAAGAGTCCAGGAAGACTCCCCAAAATCACAGGAAAGCAGCAAAATCTGGGGCAATTCCCCCCAAAATTGCAGGAAAGCGGTAGAGTCTGGGAAGACTCAAAAATAGTGGGAAAGCTGCAGATGGATTTCCCGTTTTTCAGGAATTTGAGGCTTGGAAAAGCCAATGGAAGGAGAACACAACACTAAAGCAGGGGGGAGTTTCAAGCTGGCTGTGTTTGAGTGGGAGGTAGGAAAATGCAGTGCTAAAAAATGCGTTTTTTTCCCCATATCCTGGGAATTTGCAGGCCCATACGGATTTTCCGGGCTTTTCCAAGTGTGTTTTCATGGGAAAAACCTGTGGCACCGACTCGAAATAAGGGACATGTCCCCTTGGTGGCTGAACGGAGGACGTGGGATGCATGGTTAAAGAGAGCAGGAGGAAAAGGAATG